GGGAGCTGAAGTCCAAGAACATCTGGAGGCCCAAGGTTGGGGACCACTGCGGCATACATGACATCCAGAATTTGAAAAAGTTAGGGGTTTTTTGGAAGCTAACTCCCGGAATCTCCCAACTGGAATGGCTATTGATCATTGGTGGCTGGGAGATTTTGGAGGTTGTCATGCAAAAAATAGAAAAAGGAAAAGAAAGAAAAGAAAAAGAAACTTTTTCAAGCTGTGCATAATTATTCTGAAAAAAAGATCAAGAAGTGAAATGTGCCAAGAATATAAAATAATAACAATAGCTCGCCTAATATAATTTATTATTTGAACTTGCAAGATTCCTTCAGGATCTTAGGCAGAAGTCTTTCATGTGACTAGCTGGGAACAGAAGACTAGCAAGGTGCAGCTCAGGCCAACCTCAGAGCCTTTACCATCTTCTGAGATCAGAACTCTGGTAAAAGCAGCTGTCAAATGGAGATGTTGATGAGGAGATCATGGCCCGACCCTTGGAACCCTACTCCTGGATTATCAGGACCCTGGGCCCAGGAACTGATGCCATCCTGCCAATGCCACTGGTAAAGTTAATCAGGATCTGGAAGAGGGTGTCAGAAGAGGAGGGGCAGAGGAGAGAGGCAGGAGGAGATGGAGTTGTAGGAAGAGAACCTGGGATAAAGTACTGGAAGCCTGAGATAAAAGAATATAAGAAAGGAAACTGGCCTGTCAGGAGAGAAGGAATGGAGTGAGCCTCTTGAGTGGATCCCGAATCTGATACATCAAGAACTTGTGTAGGCAAATTCTGTGAGCCCCAAACTGGAATCCAGGAGGATCAGGGGTCCATGTAATTGAGGGGGTGATACTGGAGTTGGAAGAGGAGCTTCCGGTTGGACCACTTCCAGACTATCCAATCTGCATCTTATACTGGTGCTGGTGCCGGAGATTGTAACTTCAGTAGTTTCGGCAACTGGACCACTCCTTGAGAATGCTGGAGAGATCTCCATTGGGTTCAGGGTAAGCACACTTGGGCAGATGCTGGCAGACACCTTGATTCAAGTCAAGGGGGAGGAAGAAAAGTGGGGAACCAGGAGGACCCAGAGTGTGGTAAACTGAACTATCCTGGGGCATTGGGGACACATGAGGGCAGAGACTGTGACATGGACATTTTTCCAGGAGAGTGCCATAAACTGCCCTTGGACTTAACTGTAATGAGTCTGAGTGAAGGACTCATGGGAAAGGGAGTTGAAGTTAAGCTCCCCTTTTCGCTCTGCAGTTCCCGTCAATAAACCTGTCATTGACTCATAACATGGAGTGAATTCATATTCACCCCAAGAGGCTTGGAGGGCATATACACGTTCTAATGTCATCTGGTTTTTCTTGCCTGCAAGTTCTCCATCTCAAGCTACCAACCTACTAAGTTTTCCATCACTGGGATCTCACAGCTCATATCATGTCTTGGAGAAAGACTAGAATATATGTTGCTATGTTTCATCAAATAACCTCTGACCCACTGCAACCCTAATAGCATCTTCAACATACATGAGATGTTCAAGGAGTGGTTTCCCATTACCACCTTCACTCTTGTGGTTTCCATTGCCAAGCGGTGATTTGAACTCACTTCTCCTGAGTTGTAGTCCAACGCTTTATCCACTATACCACATTGGCTCTTACATATGTATCTGACTAACAGAATCATTGAACTAAAAGGGGGTGTACCAGTTTATCCACTATACCACATTGGCTCTTACAAATGTATCTGACTAACAGAATCATTGAAAAGGGGGTGTACCAATCATTTGGTTCAGCTAGTACCAGTGGCCAGTAGCCCTAACGCTTAAATATTACTGCTGTATCAGAAGAAGTATCACTTTGCATACCAGTTGCTGTGGAACAAGAATTAGACTGTATTATTTCGTTCATGTGCTACTTGTGGGCTTTCTAAAGGGATTTAGAGACAGATGCCAGTCATGATCTGATTTTTCTTTGTGTGTCAAAGGCCTTTTTTTGGCTGAAAGGTTGGTAGTAGAGAGATTTTATGTATTTCTACAAAAGTACAAAATTTTAAACTTTTAAACTAAGTTGCCATGTTACATAGACCACTAAAACACCAAATCATGACATGGGTTGCTCACACTTTTTGTGAGCAACCCATGTAATGATTCCGTGTTTTAGTGGTCTGTGTAATAATGCAAAAGTCAGTCCTTTTGTCCTTGTTCTGCTTAGCTTTAGAAAAGGAAAAGATGTTAGAAACACTTTGCATAAATTGTGCAAACCACGATGGAAGAAGATAAAAGCACCTGGTGTCTCAGTTTCATGCTGGAGGAAAGATCATTCCTTGTCATCTAGACCTTTGATCTAGATGGGCAGGATAGAATTCTAATAAATAAATAAAATAAATAAATATTGTCAGGATCTCCCACCACACTGAAACAGCCTGTCTTGATCATATGCAAATAAGCAAGACATTGGTGAGATTTCTTCATATTCTTCCATCTAGTAGGCCATTTTGTTTTTTTCCACAGAGAGTTACAGTTAATGCATGAGAGGCACTAGCTGAAGTGTTGGGAACCCTGTCTGAAAAATTCAGACTGTATACTGCTTTATTTATTTGATAATAATTGTTTAGTCTCTTTTTTTACTTTTAACCTGGACAGGTGAGTTCTTAAAACTTTTCAATAAGCCTCTTTTGTAGACTTAGAACCTAAGCAAGAAAGGCGGGATGCAGATCCACCCCCTTAATTTAGCTGAATAGTGGTTAGTTATGTTGAACCAAAATTGAAGAAGCAGACTGTATACTGCTTTATTTATTTGATAATAATTGTTTAGTCTCTTTTTTTACTTTTAACCTGGACAGGTGAGTTCTTAAAACTTTTCAATAAGCCTCTTTTGTAGACTTAGAACCTAAGCAAGAAAGGCGGGATGCAGATCCACCCCCTTAATTTAGCTGAATAGTGGTTAGTTATGTTGAACCAAAATTGAAGAAGTGATAAACAGTGGTTAGTTATGTTGAACCAAAATTGAAGGTATGATAAACAGGTTGAACCGAAATTGAAGAAGGTATGCATTGTTTCTGACACATTGTTGGTATCATCTGGCAGGACAAAGTTCCAAATAGAGTAGTCCTAGAACAAGCTGGAATTTTTAGCATGTATACATTACTGAAACAGCGACATCTACGTTGGCTTGGGCATGTTGTGAGAATGGCTGATGGTCGGATACCAAAAGCTCTCCTGTATGGAGAATTAGTGCAGGGAAATGGCCCCAGAGGGAGACCACAGCTACTATACAAGGACATCTGCAAGATGAAGGCTGGACCTCAACAGATGGGAAACCCTGACATCTGAGCATTCAGCCTGGAGGCAGGCGGTGCATCACGGCCTCTCCCAATTTGAAGAGACCCTTGTCCAGCAGGCCAAGGCAAAAAGGCAGTCACAAAAGCAACAAAATCAGGGGGCTGGACAGGGAACAGATTGTATTTGTCTTCAGTGTGGAAGGGATTGTCACTCTTGAATTGGCCTTCTCAGCCACACTAGACACTGTTCCAAGTCCTCCATACAGAGCACATTCCCTTAAGTCTCGAGAGACTGAAGGATGCCTAGTCTATGATAAACAGAGAGTGTATGCAACCAAGCTTTGTATTTTGCAATGATTCCTTTATCACCACGAATCTTTCTAAACAGAAAATATTTAATAACATGGACAAATAAAAATTCTTATACCAAGGTACTGAGGCTTCCGTGGAACCCTTTGTCTGGCAGAGGCCATTTGAGGCTACCGGACAGGGTGAAGTTTTTCCTTTACAAAAATTACAGCCGTTGGTAATTAAAGACACCCCCTCTCTACTGTGCAGCTTGTGACAGCTCCTCCATGTTAAAGGGGATTCCATCGGAGCCTAGGGACCTTCAGGGTGAATCAGAATTTTTTTATTTTTGAAAACTTGCAGAGGCTGCATGTCTTATGTCCAGATTTCTGCCACAATCTCATCATTTTGGTTTAATAAGATATATTTTTTTCCTTTTCCTTTATTAAACTTCAAAAGAACTGATGAGAAATTAAAACAAATCCAACCAACTCAGAGAATACCGCTGAGAGAATGGTCAATAAAAAGATATTACAAATGCTGGTCATAAACAAACAGTGAGTATTCAGTAAGCATGGAATATAGTTCATTTTAAGGAAAAATAATATTAAAATGGATGAGTGAGTCAAAGAACTTATTTAGTGCAAAAGAGGGAGAAAGAAAGAGAAGCACAAATATGAGAAAATTATTCTGTTGAATGAATAGGATGTTTCCTGGTTTATTTCCTCGACATTTCTCACTGAGCAATTGTTGTTGTGTATCATCACAATGGGACCAACCTATAGCAATCCTGCTAGGGCTATTAAGGTAAGTGAGATGTTTAAGGTATTGTTTTATCAGTTCCACACCCTCAGTGAGCTTATGGTGCGAAAAATACGGTATTTTGTTGAATGAGTAGGATGTTTCCTGGTTTATTTCCTGGACATTTCCCACTGAGCATTTGTTGTTGTGTATCATCACAATGGAACCAACCTATAGCAATCCTACTAGGGCTATTAAGGTAAGTGAGATGTTTAAGGTATTGTTTTATCAGTTCCACACCCTCAGTGAGCTTCCACAGCTAAACGGGGATTTGAACCCAGGCTTCCTACATCCTAGTCTGTCACTCCATCCACTACATCACACTAGGTACCCCAGTAGAAATAGGCATGTGGAAATTTCTGCATTCTAGGGCTATTAAGGTAAGTGAGATGTTTAAGGTATGGTTTTATCAGTTCCACACCCCCAATGAGCTTCCACAGTTAAAGAGGGATTTGAACCCAGGCTTCCTACGTCCTAGTCTGTCACACTCCATCCACTACATCACACTAGGTACCCCAATAGAAATAGGCATGTGGAAATTTCTCCATTTGATTTCATTGCATTTCCCCCCTATCTATTTACATCTGTTACAGTAATTTGGTTTCCATTTACCTTTTTATATGCCTGCATTCATGCACTCCTCCTAATGTACACATTTTAATGTGTTTTCTTCTTTGGCTAAAACCAGTTTATGAGTGTATTTTTCAACTGTACATATTTTTATCTATTTGCATTTAGAAAATTTTTTTGCATGGTTTCATATGTATCAATATGCAAGTGTAAATGTGCAGATTTCTATGTGAAAAGGGGCATTTTGTGTCATAAGGAGTTCTAGGAGGTTCAGAATGTATGCTTCCTGTGAGAATCTCAAAGTCAGTGAAATTTTTTCCCATTGCTGTAAGAAGCTATTTTCAAATTGCTCCGGGAAAGGAGAGCAGCTCATAGAACTGAACAAAGACATAACGATTTTAATGTGGCAGGAACTGAGTACAGTGGTGCCTCGCTTAACGATGATAAACCGTTCCAGGAAAATCGCCGTTAAGCGAAAACATCGTAAAGCGAAATTTAAAACCCCATTGAAACGCATTGAAACCTATTCAATGCGTTCCAGTGGGGTAAAAACTCCCTGTCCGGTGAAGATCCTCCATACGATGGCCATTTTCACTGCCTGTATAGCGAGGAATCCATGCCTAAGCACAGTGGGGAGTCATTTTAAGCACCTGGTGGCCATTTTGAAAACCCGACGATCTGCTGTTTTTGATTGTCATAAAGCAAAAATCGGTTCCGAAGCAGGGAACCGATCATCGCTAAGCGAAATTCCCCCATTTAGACCATCGTTTTGCAATCGCAATTGCGATCGCAAAAAGATTGTCATAAAGCACATTCGTCTTAATGTGGGGCAATCGTTAAGCGAGGTGTCCTATTCGGGTGTTCAGTGAAAGCGTTTGCCTCAACGTGTGAGCAAAGAGGACAAATTAGCCTCACCCACTTCCTCTTCAGTCTCTACCAGAATTTAAAAATGTTTCTTGGACTACAACTCTCAGAGTCCTGCAGTCACTTCAGCCTATTCTAGGATTCTGGGAGGTTGAAATCCAAAAGTATAATGCTCTGGTTTTTACATCTGGAATATTTCCACATATTTGGGACCCTAATGTTTCAGGTTTCTGATTGCACAGAGAGCCACCATGGATGGAGACGGGAGATGTTGCTAGGATGGAGAGCACCTGTTCTCTCTGCTCACAGCTGAAGGTCAACAACACCATCATCATCATTAATACTCAACTCACTGAGCTATCCAGCCAGCAAATGTTTTGTAAAACAACTGAATAGAATTTGTGTCAACCTCCTCCACTGTTTCTACCTTAAAACAACTAAGTAAGGATTGAGTATGCTCAGAGGGGATGGAACAGTGACCAATAAGAATTTTTTTAAATTGTAAGCTGTGGTGTAGGGCAGAGCTGTAACTACAGAGTGATGACAGGGGCCTTGCCCAGGTACCAAAATTTAGAGGAATAAAAACTGAAATGGAATAGGGTGGCTTGAATTCTAAATAAAGGCCCTCCATATCAGAGCATTTTGTTGCAGGTTCTTCTTGTATTTATATGAAAAGGTTCTTGCTTTCCTCAGGATTTTAATGTTCAACATTCCCAGCTGTGAGGTCAACAGTACCCAACCAGCAGCAAAGAAGGGAGATGACTGGGCAAATTTGCCCTTTTCTGACTTTCATAAGTTATCTTGTTACCTATAAATAACAAAGTTCAACTGACCCATATTTCCAATTCCATATGTACAGAGGTTGGGGGGTGGGGAACTGTGAAAGAACGTCAAATATGTGCTGTTAATATGCACTGGGTTTTAAAAGATTCTGGGGTTTAAAGGGATTAAGGCTCAAGAGGGTTGTTTTTTTTTTAATTGTTAGCTGAACTTTGTCCCTTATTTTCCAGTGCCAAGACTGTGTCTGTAAGATTTAGGCCTACTGTCTGGGTTCAGATAATACACACTATTTTGTGGCATGGATTTTTGGTTTCTATGTGGTCCCTGCCTGGCCCCCATTTGGAACAGTGCCATAAACTAACGTGATGGATTTGGAAAGCATGGTTTAAACAGTTCCTTGTATATGAAGAACAGTGGGTGGTCTTGTCATCTTGCTTGCCCTGATTATTTCTTCATTACATGTAGAGATGAGATTTTTGAATATTTTGGACTATAAATCCCATAATTCTCAATTCTGAGAAGTTTATCTGGCAGACATCTTACAAACACTGAAATGTGGCTCACCTGGGACAAAAGCCCCAGCTGGAAGGCTTAGCACCTGAGCTAGGCCTAGCTCCATCTAGCTTTCTGTTCTGAAGGAACGCTCCCTGTTGGTACAGGGGCAGAAACAGGAAGCTTGGGAGGGCCTAGGCCTAGTTCAGCCTCAAAGCCTTTGTCCCAGTTGATCTATATCTATATATGTTGTCTGTCTGTTAGGTGGAACTTCCAGACTGGAAAGTTATGGGATTTGTAATCCAAAAACCCCAAAAATCCTATCCCAAATCTTCCTCCAAGGGGTGCAGGACTGGCTGTCCGCATTACTCTGTATATCTTGAGAATCCTGGGAGATAATTGAGGTAGTAACTGAAACAAGGGCCCCCAATGACATCTTGCTGACTGTATATTTGAACTTTGTTCTCTCTGATCTTAGTCAATTCAATTAAATCTTTATTGCACAGTCACAGATCCAATAATTGGTCTTAGTCCAATACTTTAGCAGAGAAAGGATGGTGAGCCCACATATGTTTTTGGTCCCTTGTTTTGCATCACAAATGACCAGATTTTCTGTGAGGCATTGCCAAACACTTTGTAAGTGGGCATGAATTGGTTGGGGATGTGTGGGAATGAGAGTAGACAAAAATAATCTGTGCATGATTTCAGGGCCAACATTTGGGACCTTGTGCGAGTGAATCCTTGTGACATAATAAGGGAGGGCCCTTCCAATATTGTAGAGTCTGATTCTTAGGATGTCACAGAAGCAAAGCTGGTAAGAGTTGGGAGGTAAGCAATACACATAGGAACACTTTCATGCTGATCTAGTCAGGAATGGCTCAGGCATTCAAGTCATCTCGCATATTGAAACCATACTTTCTAGGCATGAGACTTTAAGAATTCTAGGATTTAGAATAATAGAATCCCAGAATCATAGAATAATTGAGTTGGAAGGCGCTTATAAGACCATCGAGTCCAATCCCCTGGTCAGTGCAGGAATCCAGATCAAAGTAGATCTGACAAATTGTTGTCCAATATTTTCTTGAATGCTTCCAGATCTGGAGTGCTCACCACCTCCTAGGGTAATTGTTTCCACTGTCATACTGCTCTGACAGTTAAGGTATTTTCCCCTGATAACCAGCCTAAAATCTGGCTTCCTGTAACTGAAGCACATTCTTACATATCCTGCACTCTGGGATGATAGAGAACAGATCCTGCTCCTCCTCTTTATGACTATCTTTCAAGTATTTCAGGAATCCCCCAGGCGGATGTCAAGGGCTGGAGAAGAGAAACCAGGAAGCAAAAATGATGTCTTTCTACTGCTGTTGTTTGCTTCACTTCATGTGCTTCAGCTGGAAAAGAAGAAGGGAACACCCCCTCAGTCACACTGCTTCCTGTGAATTGCCATAATGCTCCAGGGGAACAGTAATCTTGCTTATCATTATTCTCTATAGGTGGAGCCTCTCACTGAATTATTCACTCATGTACCATTGGCTTCCTTATGTAAAGACTCATTTTTGGGGTATTTTGCTACACCTATATTCTCACTTTGAGGATCACCACCTCAATTTCCCATTAGTAGTTACTGAAACCCATAGTCCATTTGCAAAGCATTTGACATTATATAGACAGGATTAGAGATGGGCACAAAGCTCAGTTTGGAAGATCATGCCAGTTTGTGTCCACGGCACCACTGGTGCTGTGAATCCCTTTCCCCCCACTTCCCCAGCTGGACACAAACCTCAGTTTGGAAGATCATGCCAGTTTGTGTCCGCGGCACCACTGGTGCTGTGCATCCCTTTCCCCCCACTTCCCCAGCTTCATTCCCCATTCACCAGCTGGTGTGCGCTCCTTTCCTCCTCTTCAGCAGTTCAACCAGTCTCCAGCAGGATCACAGGCTTCCCTGCCCCTTTGGCTGATCAACCACCACTCAGACAAAGAGACAGTTTGGAAGATCATGCCAGTTTGTGTCCGCGGCACCACTGGTGCTGTGCATCCCTTTCCCCCCACT